TATAGTATTTTTAGAAAACTACATTAAGTCACATTAATGCAAGACCCAGTTTCAATGCCTTAAGTTCAGATCTGTGCACAGATGCAATTTATGATATTACCACCTGGCAAATTACATGATGACCTTTTCTGATTAAACATTTTCTTGTGATTCAGGAGGTGTAATACGAAGAAGTATTGGATTAGAATTGAACTTGAAGGCTAAATTAGGCTGTGGATCACAAGTGGATTTCTGACTTAGAGGGCAAAAGGTTGGTCTGTTTAAACTTTCCCCCCTTGAGGAAAAAAAAAAGGATTCCCATCCTGTAGGTGGAAAAACAGCATACTGCAATGCTTTTGTGAGAAAAATTCTGAAAAAGCAAAAAGTTACAGGGAGATAGAGTACCTGACTTCATTCTTTTGCTTAAGGCCACATTTTGTTTTTCATTTATAAATATCTGGAGATTAACTACGTATCTCTCATGTTGTATCTAAACTGAGACATAGGAGGATGACATACACCGAATCAGTCTATTAATCAATCAAGTTCAATTTTCGATTGGTAGCAGTTTTCCCAATAGCTCACATCATATCCATCTCTGGTTGCCTGGCATTGCTTTAATTTGGGAATGGACAAACTTCGCCTAGGATCAGAAATTTGTAGGTGTCCTTTCTACAGCACTATTACAAGGAAAGAGAGGGAGGGAGGGAGGGAGGGAGGGAGGGAGAAAGAAAGAAGAAAGAACCCAATGCAGTTTCAATGAAATAATAACAATAACAATAATTCTAAATATTTCTCCCTCATAATCCAAGGAAAACATCTGAAAATTCCATCCTTGCCTATGTAGATGACATGGCTCTATCAACTTTGCAGCACTTCCCAAACCGTCTGGCATCCATCTCCAGCCACTATAAAGATTGGATATCTGTACATTAACTGGAAATTACTGGAATTACCAGGATTATCATTCAGACTTTGGCCAAAAAGTTTGTCTGTCTGTCTGTTTCATTCTCTCTGTATGCAAACGACTAAAAATATTTCACTAAGTTTTCTCTATGTTGTAGCCCACTACGACTGTATTAGTGATCTGTATTTATTATAAACAAATTCTCTCATTTTTTTCCTTTTATTCAAAAATAGTGATTGAAACTTTAACTGATCAATACTATTAATTACTAATTAATATAATCTCATTAATTGGTAGAATTATGTCAAGATCATAGAGATATTTGGATAAGCAGCTGGAAAAAAATTACGGAATTTTGTTATTTTGTATGAACAGCTGCCGCAAGACTATTGTATGCACAAAGGTGGAAAGATTTGACTTTATCCAGATTAGAGGCATGGATAGCAAAGATTAAGAAATTTGTTGAGATGCTCAAATTGATAGCTTTAATTAGAGATACTGTAGGCTAGAACATTGTTTAAATTTAAAGATGATTGGAAACATCTTATTGATTTTTTGCAGGAAACAGAAAAATGATATTATGATATATGGTTCTGAGGATTAGACTAAAAATAATATATTATAGAGAAAATGTAGACAAAGCTGTATCCTATAAGCAAGGTTATTTTATATTTATAATTATAACTGCTGTAAAAAAAATCAGAAGTCACTTCTCCATTATTCTTTTTTCTTTTATTTTGCATCTTTGTTTTTGCTCTTTTCTTCATTCTAAATAGGTCTTGTTTAATTTTTATTCTACATTATTTTTTTAACAGAAATTATTTTTAAAAAGAAGATCAGAGAGCTATATGAACTTCCTCTTTATATCATCAGATTAGATGAGGAAGAACAGTAGGAATAATATCCATTAAGACAATAACATAGATGGGAAACAATCTTTTTCCAGATCTGTTTCTTTCCCTTTTCCCTTTAATATGTAGCTGCCCAACAATAGGATTTTATAAGATTATTAAAAGGACATATTCTGTCAGTTCAATATTTATAAAGAACATCATTTTAGCATACTCAATAATCTTGCTTACGACATACCTACAACATATCCCCAATAATAGCTGCTTTTAGGAAACACATTGTAAAAACATATTTTGTAATGGGTCTTTGGACGACTCCTTCAAAAGACTGTTTGCACTGAAGTGTTTCCAGAAAACCTTGGATAAGTTGATAATCAAGCTAATTTATAGGAGAACAAATCAACAGAGTCAGATCCAGTGGTGAAATTCAATTTTTTTTTACTACCAGCTCTGTGGGCATGGCTTGGTGGGCGTGGCAGGGGAAGGATACTGCAAAATCTCCATTTCCACCCCACTCTGGGACCAGCCAGAGATGGTTATTTGCCAGTTCTCTGAACTACTCAAAATTTCTGCTACTGGTTCTCCAGAACCTACTGGATTTCACCAGTGGTGGGTTGCCCCAGGGTTCGGACCGGTTCGCAAGAACTGGTAGTAAAACTGGTGGGAGGCTCTGCCCACTGCCCCGGATGTTGTCATAGGCGATCTGCGCATGCTTTGCTTGCGCATGCGCGCGATTCCATTGCAAACCGGTAGTAAAGATAAGTAGAACTCACACCTGGATTTCACCCCTGGTCAGATCCATCCACAAGTTTTTAAACAATATGAATATAAAATTACTGATCTTCAAATCAAAATGTTAGGTCAGCCTCTGTATCAGAAAGTGGCCAATATAACATCATTCTTCAAAACTGATATGGGTAGAATTCAGAAAATTAACAAATGGCTAAAAAAAGGTCTTTGACAATAATCAAATTTCTTCGGTAAACATATTAATCATAGGATATATAACTGAAGAGACTCTTTTCAGGTAACAGATTAAAGAACACAAAGAAATGAATAAATAATTGATATTACAGGGAAATGGGGGAAAAAAAACATGACCATGGATTTGGATTGTTGATTTTAACTTGTGCATACATTCTTCTTCCTAGCGTTATTCCTGTGTTATGGCAGGTTCCGCTTGTCGGCAGAGCCGTTTCCATTTGGATCAATCCAAGGGATCTTCAGGGGCGATGCTCATGTATTTCATCATCCTGGGCCCAACATTTGGGAAGCCAGGTTCTGGTTGTCACAAGTCAGGACAAAGGGTGAGTGAGGAGTAGTAACACCTCTTTAAAAAAAGCCTTGGTCCAGATGACCCAGCTGGTAGCACTTTGTAAGGGTTTCCTAGGGTTGCAGGACTACTAATACCTGGCAGTAAGTATAAATTGCTTTCTAGAGCAGATGGAGTGATGCATCAGTTTGAATCTGAATTTGTGCATAAATTATAGTATAGTATAATTTAATAATTTTGAGTTCTAAAAGATTTTGAGTAAAATGAAGAACAGACAATGGTAAATAAGATTAAGTATAGTGCACATTTGGTCAATAGTTAATAGTTACATTAACATTGATGGAGTCTGAGCAGGTAAATACGAAAAAATCAAAGTAATTTTTCCTGCTGATAAATATTCTTTCAGTTGTTTTGAAGCTTCTTGTGAAAAAGGCAAATTTCATGGCTGGGGATAGTTAGAAAAAAAAACTGGAAAGAAAACAGCCAATATTGTTCAGCTTTTAGAAAAACCAATGGTATGATAATGGTTACATTTGAATTCTGTTTTAATCACAATAAGCTTAAGAAGATAACTGTAAAACTGAAAACATGTAGGAAGGAATAGCCAAAATTATGAAGAAGCTGGAGTGATTCTATTATGATTTGGGGTGTTTTAAATATAGATAAAAAGCAAGTAAAATAGATATATGACTATAAATTATGCACAATACAAGGGAAATGAATAGGAAAAGGTTTTTGTTCCTTTCTCATTATCATCAAATTTAGGATCAGCCAATGACATTGGATGACAGATAAGCAGACAGACTTCAGCATGCTATGATTTTTGGTGTAAAAAAAAGACATTTGTTTTATTTTGGTATATGTTGCTTTCTTCTAATGAGACATTGCTCTTGGGGGGAGGAAGTCATGTACCTTGTGCTGGAATGGCCTTACCTCCGTTCTTTCCACTTTCCAGAAGCAAATCCTACTTAGATTAATCAATCATCAGAATAATGATCAAAATGGAGAGTCTTTTTCATGCGTTCATAAAAATATACCTAATATTCATGGGAACATTCTTGCATCTGTAGAAGTAATGTATTTCCCAACAGTTACTTTGTATCTGCAGCAATGCAAACCTGAGATGTATTGTCCAAAATATTACATAATTAAACAATTGCACAGACAGGAAAGCAGTATCAAGCTGGTTAGTAATTGCATTGGGAACTATGAAAAGCCATAATTACATTGCAGAAAACAAAATTATTAGTTGGCTTTTGCTCTGAATGGGGAATATGATGGGCATGGTTTAGACCAGATGAATGGACAATAGACAGCTGGACTTTCAATTAGGAACTTTGCACACTTAGGATAAATATGAGCCTTTAGTGCACAATCAGGAAAAGAGGACACAGAGCTCCAGTCACACTTTTAGTTTGGACAATCTCCAACCTTGGGAATGTTGTGCTAAGTGATGTGGTCATAAAGCTTAATTTCATATGAGCGCGCCAATTTACGATGGCAGTTGCAACAATGCCTTTGTTAGGCAAATCCTGTGCGGTTTCAGAATCTGATAGTCACGCGATCTGTTTGCAACTTCCTGCCAGCTTCCCCAGATTTTACTTGTCGGAAACTGGCAATGAAAGTCACAAATGGTGATCACATGACACAGGAAGCTGCAGGGTTGTAGCTGCGAACTGATTGCCGGACACCAAATTTCAATCATATGACTCTGGAGATGTTGTAAGAGACGCAACTATGACGAATGGATGTAAGTCCCATCATTCAGCACTGTGATAACTTCTGTTGCTGAACAAGGGCTACCTGCAGGCCTAAACCAAATGGACAGTTTGGTTTAGGCAAGAGGGGGGCAGCTTTCTATATGACAAAAGTCTTGTTTGTCGTTACAGTAAAGAAATTTCTTTCAGAATCTTGAAATTTCCTCATGGTTAACCCAGTACAAAGCGAGAAAATGTACTCAAAATCATTTCACATTCAAATAAACAGGTAGTTGATTTCAAATAAATAAGTTTAATTACACTGGAGAAATAAAATATGGCATGGTAGTAACACATTTGTAACATTATATACTATTCCGCTATAGGTAGTTTAATGGCAGAAGCTACTTTTCATGACAGTCTTACCAGTACTCATGTACAAAGTAATATACAAATCGCCAACAGAAACGTATCGCAGCAGTTGCAAGGGGTGCTACCAGCTCAAACAAACATCTAACAACACAGTGTACTTTAAGGAGAAGGTTATAATGTTGGGTTTACAGACATTGTTGAGTTTTAGGCTCTTCACTTGGAAACAATGAAAATAAAAAGCTACAGAAAACCAACTTAGCTATTACAAGGAAAAACTTTCTCTGACATTGCATCCCTGGAACTTTTCAGATGTCATAGCAACTTGATTTCTCCATTCAGCTGTGACAGATATCCCTTTTTCAGGCTACTGCTTGTATAACTGACATTTTAAATGTTTTTATTTAATTTTATTTACATACATTCACCACAGGAAGAAGTTTATTTATTATACAAGAGGCATTTTCATCAGTGCAAGAAAAAAGAAATTCAGAGTGATTGCACAGCATCGAATAAGAAATATACAAATGTACATTAAGATGAGGGACAATCTAATTTCTACATAATAACACTGATGGTTTCTGGTACAGATATACAACAACATTTAAAGTTAATACACACAATTTTTAGTCATGAAACCACTCGCTTTGTGAGAGCGGGCGGGCAACTATGAAAAAATGAAGGTTAAGCTGCTAGGCTATTAGCAGGGAATGTGAGCATTTGGGGAGAACATTTTCCAAAGGAACGGTTCTTCTCCTAGCAGACCTTCTTAAACAAGGCTTTCGCTTCCCCATGCTGCATTAAAGCAGGAGAATTGATTGGGTGGACTAGACTACTAGAGCCTATCTGGTCTAAATGCTTTGTTTTTCTGACAATGGCTGGCTAAATGGCTTATCTTGGAGGATCACAAGCAGGTTATCAAAGGATACTGCAACCCCCCTCTTTTCCAGCCTCTATCAAGGTGACATACGGCGCCTCTGGGAATGAAAATACTCCATTTAGGCAGGGATGCCTGGCAAAATGTATAGAAAGCAATTAGTGACTATGATGGATTGGAAGGGGCATGCCATTTGAGGCACCCCATAAGGAACAGACACAGTAAGGGCTTGCTTAGCACCAGGTGGCTGAATGATCAACAGTGTGATCAGTCTGAGAACAGTTGGCCATTCAGTGCCTAATGCTACCCAAACTACATGCTAGAAGTGCAGCTTTATTCAGCTGCCCTGAGCCTCACCTGCTTCCTTCAGGTACATTTGAGGAAGAAAACGGAACTGTCCCTTACTGCTATCTAAGGGCTCTTGTGGTCCCTGCACAGGAATAAGAACTAATGGCCCCTGTGGAACAGAAGCTGCCGGAAAGACCACAACTTTTAAAAGTAGGTAAGAAATATATAAAATGCAGTCAATGAACCTCTTCATTCACAGTATATTGCCTTAGATGTGAAAACTGTCTTGCGTGCATGCATGCATACATACACGCATCCTACTCTATAGATTCCTCAACAGGAGTATGGATTTTTCAGGACGTATACAACTAACAAATACACAATGAAAACAATATCCAGTCTTGGAATCAAGGACCTTATTTCCAAAGCTCTGTTAACGCATGTACTGAAACATATGAAGCTCTGTTCTCGGGCAAATGGACAATATTTGCATTTTTCCTCATCCCCGAGAGGAAGAGAAAGAAATGAAGAAAAACGTGGATACGTGGCCCCACTAATGTTTATATCCCTAATTTAGAGTTGTGTGAAATCTAGCATTCTTCAGAATGACTAGCTATGAAGAAGAATCATAAGTTCCCCGTCCAGAATGATGTTTCCCTTCCCAAGTGTTTTGAGAATAGCTGCCCTAAAGCATGGTTTAAAAGCAGCTAATCTAAGTAAAGTAGCAACAATTATGTTTAGCATTCATTTTGTAGGGACTTCATAGCCAGCTCAGTTGCAAAATGGTGTTATTATAATGTACATCGTGTAAAAACAGCTTTTTAAAGGAAAAATACTTATTTACTTAAATGGAATATATTGATGAGGACATAGTATTTCACAGGAAGTTGTTTCTTTATCAATAAGCACCATGGTAAGTGCCATGACAGCCCCATTGTCCCAAAGTTTATTTTAATCACAAAAGATAGCAACTTGAATACATAAAACAAAAATCCACACAACTTTGCATTAAAGTCACAAGAATTAAGTTTAAAAATGGCTCTTGAAATACTTTTATATTTTATACTTTGGGTATTTTTTGCTCCTAAATGTTCAGATTGAAAACTGTTCCTATTGATGTAGAAAATATTCACTTCAAATTACATCAGTTTCTACCTAGTCAGCAATGGCTATAGCGCATACAGGTAACAAAATTTGTTCCCTTCTCCATTTAGTCTATGTTCAGACTCATACTAATTGTCTATTATGGGGACTTGAATTCTTGAACAGCTATTACCAGTCTCTCTTTCTCTCTCTGTGTAAGAATTTCCAGTGGATATTTCAACGAAATTAATCTGCAACATTTGCTGTTTAATTGATGGACAGCTCTGACCACAGGGTAAGATATGAAAGCTGCCAGCTTTTTGGACCTTCCTAAATTGTGAAGATATGGGACATATTTATTGTGCTAAATTTCATGTATGTATTGCCAAGCATCAGCTTAGTCCCTTTTAATTACCCTGCTGCATCTCTCAAATTCAAACAGTGACTTTTTTTTTATCCTCAGCCCAACAGTAATGCGATATTAATCAATAAGCCAAAATTATATTGTTTAGAGGTATCTTTTTCTGTTCCTGTTTGGGACTGTTTTGGTGGTTGCTCATCAGAATAGAATTCTTATTTATCTTCTAGTGACCCAGCTAATTAATAAGATTGAATTAACCCATGTTTAGATCACCAGTCTTGGATTCTTCTCTATTCAGGTACAATTACTAATATTGTAAATACAACGTATTAGCTTTCTTCTTATCTCTTCCCTCAGGGTACATTGGACTACAACTCTATGAATTCCTGCTACTGTAACAAGTTTATATATTGCTACTACCTACATTAATTACTATGTGGAGGTAACAAAGCTATTTTTAATGCTAATTTTCATGATTCTTTCATTCTGCCATAGAACTAGTGTGATAAAAAAAAAAAATAAGGCACTATCAATGTAATCATAGCCTCTTTCATTAGCTAGGTCCCCTTTGTCATGAAAACAGGAGCAGCCCAAGGAAACATCAAAGGTAATGTATGCTTCTTCCATTTTCTGCATCTTTTCTTGAATAAAACAGAAGCCTTATTATTCAAAGCTATCAAAAATCCTAGTCTGCAACTAGGTTCATCTTCAGACCATGAAGTATGAATTTGTTTAATTGGCTAGATTTATATAACATGCAAAGCCATGAATTCGCAAGCCAGAATTGTTGGGTTCATATTCTATAATAAAACAAGCCACATTATGGCTTCTTCTTGGCATAAAGTATGTATCCAGCCTATATGTAACTATAATTTTCAGATGGGGGTGGGGGGAGACATTTCTAATAACTGATCTTGCTCTTTAAAAAGCAGAAATTCCTGACAATGAACATCAATAGAGTAGGCTGGTGTTTTCTTTCTCGGAGAAGGGCCCATGTTCTTCTGGGTCACCTTCCTAAGGATTTAATCTATTACAACAGCAGCCACATCAAGGATTTTATTGGGTATGTATGTATGTATGTATGTATGTAAGAAGAGAATGGAAGAAGATCAAACAAGAGATGCCAACCATGTCAGGAGTATAGATGAAGATGAAATTGAACCCATTCCCTTTCTACATTCCTGAAATAAAAATCTTCCATGCAAACAGCATAAGAAAAAAGGTCCTACTGTACTGGGTATCACTGGTTAAATGCTACTTTTGAACTTAGCACTTTATTTTGCTTATCAATGAAATTAAATTTATTTATTTATTCCCGGTTTCTAATATTTTAGGTTTCAGTTTATCTACTGTTGACCAATCATCTTTTCATATGGTAGTTGTAAGTCCTGTTGCATATAAGGATCTGAATTTATACACCTACTAGGTTGACAGTGGATAACAATGGGTTTAGTGTCCTGATGCTATGGATAGTTCTAAACCACCAAAAGACTCCAGAAAGGGAAACTGTCCATGTAGCATTTTCCTCCACATATATAACCTGGTCAATAAGAGGATTCACAGCATGAAGATCTACTTCCAAGCATAAGTCATCTTGGCTAGATCATGGTGATCCAAAGACTCCTATTTTGTGATCAGGAATTTAAGGCTTGCATATTTCGTTCTGTCCTTTAAGGTTTGGCATTTAAATTTCTATCTATGCATTTTTAATTCTGGCAGAGATTATGAAGATTTGGAGGTTTTCAAACAGGCTTCTCCTCATTTTGCTGCTGTTGTGGCTTAATTCTGACACTTGCAAACGTCTATTTTAGGCTTTCTATATTTGTTCATAGTGATAGTTTGCTTTTTCAATCATTTTTATAATTATTCTGACTAAACAACAAGCCAATCAGCACTTTTGTCTTCTTAGCAAACTATCTTGTTAATACCAGAACATTATTTTTCTTTAGGTATCAGATTGGATTTTTTTCCAATACGATGCTGAATTTTTGTTATGGATTTGGCTGGAAGAACTCACTTTTAAAAACAGAATTCATGTGCAAAGAATGCAACAACAAATGTAAGAAAACACTTGGTCACAATTTCTTATCTTAACAATATTAATGTAACCTACAGTTATTTAGAATTCACACACAATTTACACAAATACATAGATAGTAATTACATATCCACATATTTTAAGAAGTACGATAGCAACATTTTATCTATTTGTGACCAAAAATTAGAGTTTGGCATCTCAGCTTTCAAAATGCATTGAAACCAGGGACTTAGGAATGCAACACATTTCAAGTATATATCACAGTGATAACTTTGTACACTGGTCACATGTTGTCTTTGGAGATCCTTTGCTAGCAACTGGCCAGATGAAATCATTTCCAGTTAAATAAGCCAATGCCTGATATCTTGCCTCTTACATCATAAACCGTTTCCAACAAAAAGCCAATGATCTGTTAAAAATTATTTTTTGCAGTTTGAGCAATATAATTTTCTTCTGCAAAGAAAAAGTTTGTTATAGTTTGTTGTTGTTGCTATTCCCATGTATAGGAATTTCAGGCTTCATAGGGATTTCAAATGTGAAGAGAACCAATGTAAAGCCTTTCCCTTTAAGTTCACTAAAAACACTAAGAACATAAAATTTTCAGTATACCTCACAGAAATTCTTCAAAGTACGGGAAGTATTTTCATGATAGGGTGAAAAGGTTACATCATCACATACTTTACATTACATCTACATAAATCTACTTAATCACTTCGAGTAAACGAATATCAGTAACATACAGTAAACGTTGTACATTTCACAAGACATAATACAAAATGTTTACGGTCCAGTACTGCTGCATTTGGAGGAGAGGATGGTATGAAAACTTACTTACCATTAATGTATTTCATACCGAAATTAAATGCAATTATAAAATTAGCATTAGATCTGATTATAGTATTGTGCATGTTTCAACTCAACATCTAATATGTTTCCCTTAGCATATAGACCTCTCTCATTGATTAATGAGATGTTTTTGTACATAATAATAGGGTTAAGCAATTACTAGTCATTTTACATTTTGCCAATTGAGAAATCCATTTCTAAAAACAAAATCTGAGTCCTTGTTTATAGAACTTGGGGTACTACTTAATTTAAGGGCTACTACTTAATTTAAAAAAATCATTTAAAAAGAGTAAAATTTAAAATGGTACATTTGAGAAAAAATACATTTTTGAAGTCACGATTTTCTCCTGCTTTCTCTCACTTCCTTCTCCCAAACGTTGTCTTTGTTTTACAATGCCTCCGCAGTAGTGTCTGAAGAGACTGACATAGTCACTTTAGCAATCTTAACTGTATTTTTAATGCATCTTTCAGCAGCCTTATGGACATTGCCTGGATTGTTAGCATGTCTGTGCTGGTAGTCAGACTCCAAACTATTATCAAGAGGCTGTGCGGTCCCTTCACAAGGTGGAAACATGCTTCTGAAAGCATGTCTCAGGTCCTTGCTCCTCAGAGCATAGATAATTGGATTCACCGTGGAATTCAGCAGACACAGCATACTACAGAAGGCAAAGATAGTCTTGACAAGCTTGTTCATTTTCCCGAAGACGTCATACAACATAATAGCAAGTAGGGGACCCCAGCAGATGATCAGAACCACAAGAATGAGGACTAAGGTTTTGGCTAGCCTAATGTCCATACGTGTTTGTTCTGGCCTAGTGATCTGCTGCACTTTACCGTCCCCTGAAGTATGAATTATTATGCTCTTTTGAGTTCCACGCTGGAGCATCCTAATAGTATGGCTGTGAGCTTTCCAGAGGATATACATATAGGCATAAACAATAAAAAGCAAGAGTACGGTGGTGACCCCAATCCAGAACAACAGATAATTTTCATCAATTAGGGGGAATATATCTGAACAAACAGAATTGAGCTTTTTGCAATTCCAACCAAGCAAAGGGAGAACGGCTATTACAATAGCTATTGTCCACATCACACAGAATGCTACAACAGCCTTTGACCTGGTAACAATCCTTTTGTAGGAGAGGGGCCTGTGTATAGATATGTATCTGTCTATTGCCGTGAGGAAAAGACTTCCAACTGAAGCAGTGAATGAGGCTGTAACTCCACCCAATTTGAAAAGGAACACATTAGGGCCGTCTTTCCGATGGAAAACATGGAAATCAACAAAACTGTAGACAAAAATTACACTGCCAAGGAGGTCAGCTACTGCCAGGCTGCTAATGAAATGGTAAGAAGGCCTACAGCGAAGACTTCGAGACTGCAGGATGACAATTAAAACCAGAAGATTTTCCAGAACAGTAAAAGTGCCCAGGGTGAGGGACAGGACTGCAATGGCCAGTTGCTGACTGGGGTTCAGAATCATGAAGCACTCCATGTCCATAAAGTTATCACCACACTGTATGCTCTCCTCATTCTCCTTAAAGGGGGACAAGGTTTTGTTGTAAAAATCTGTAATATTGATTTGATCCGATGGGTGCGCACCTAAAGAGGCGTCTTCTCCTGCAGTCATTTTGGGATGGAAATCACCTCGAAAAGAAGACAGAGGAAATTTCTGTGGGTAGTATCCTAATTTGGAGGCCATGTCACTTTTAAAGTCTTCGTACTGGATGTCGTTAGAACCCATGTAAAGAAGGTCTGTTGTAATTGTTCTGAAGGTTGTATCTGCAAGGCCATCTAGGACTGACTTCATAACCCCAGATGGCTGTTATGCAGTGTTGGAAAAAAATCTGAGACAGTCCTGTTGGGGAGAAAACCAAACTTAAATAAATATATGCAAAGTTGGAACAGAAGTAAGAAATAAAAAAGCAACTTAACTGAGTAGCGCGCTTAGCCCTACTGAATATTGAATCAGTTTCTCACATTTACAGCAGATGAATATTAATTAAATTGCAGAATATTTAGAATATTTTTCTATGCAGTGAAATGATTAAAAACTTAGGGCAGAAATATTACAGTACACATTTGTTTTGGTTAAAGTATTCTATTGCTATTGTGTATGTTTTAAAATGTTTTCCTGTTTCTATTTCATAAGCCAGTGATCTCTGTTTTTTAAAATACAGTAACACCAATGGTTGCTGCAGAATACTGAAACAAGAGCAGGTTTTCAGTTATACTCTTTCCATATAGACACGTGTACAGTGTCAATGCCTTTTTTTCTTTCCCCCTTTCTATCTCACACTCTGTCTTATTCCCTTTTTCCTCCCCCTAGTTTTCCATTACCGTATTTTTATTTTCCTTAATACTGATAAACTAATACAACATATGATAAGCTGTTTTTAGAAAAGCCTAAAAAGCTGTACATGATTCAGATCATTTTACTGAATATTCCATAGAATATATTGCTCAATTACTATCATAAGGCTCCTCTCTTATCCAATCATAGGATACTGCTATATAATAAAATACAAGTGAAACCTATTATTCATGTATAATCAAGGCAGAAATCAAATCACTTTGATAAATACTATTTCTCTCAGTTACATGAGTCAAAATTTTATGAACACTTTCAGCAGAAGCTTAAGTCCTTCTCCAGCTTTGATCAATATAATCAGATTCAAAATAAATCAATTCAGGGTTGCTGGATAATATTAATTCTCAACTATTTACCTCATACAGTATCTGATCTTAAAGTAGGTAATATTTTTAAAGCAAATCTAAGCATGCAAACCTAGTGAAAAAAATATGCTATCCCATATAATACTTTCTATAATAAATAGGAGCAGAAGATGACCATGCAAGGTTAAAAACTGTTCAAGAAGAATTACTTCAGACCCCAGAGGAGTATAACATTTTTCTCGTATCCATTGAAGAAACCTGGGTTTTTTCCCTCAAGTTTCTCCATCCTATTAAAAAAAAAGTTGCTTTCTTAAAGGAACCATTTGTTCAAGGCTCTTAAAGGAATGACACCTTTTCTCAGCTGTATGTTAGTATTCAGGGAACATATTAATCTTCATGATCCAGATCACAGATTGAGAACAGGCTGTACCTTGGAATACCTTTTTTAATAAATAATGTATTTATTTTATTCTTTGAATTCAAAATATGGGAAGCAGGCATGCTGAAAAATAAAGTCCTGGCCTCTAGCATGATTTTATTTACAAGAATGCCTTGGCTCCACATGAACCCTTTACTTTCACTTAGAAAATAAAAATAATGGATAGTAATGTTTCCTACACATCTATTTAACACTTCTCTGCATAAATTATTCTGTTCTTTAACTAGGTTCAACTTAATTTTAACTTAGTTAAAAATAATTATTTGTTTAAGTTAAAACAAATAGTTAATTAACTTCTTTAACTTTACCCTCAGCTCAAAGGGGACTGTATACATTTATTTATTTATTAAATAATTTCAATGTGTTCTTCTGAACCAGTGATTGTTTTTAAGATTACCTTCTGGAACTTAAGTTAAATATCCCAAAGTACCAGTTTCAGGAAAGGCCTTTCCTCAAAACCAAAGAAGGTACAAAGAGAAAACAGAAGAGCTAAACTGAGATGCTTCTTGTTCCCCAATAATGGTTCTCCCAATTTATTATTTGCATTACTTTATATTTAAAAGTTCTGAATAGCTGATATTTACTTCTTAAAAAACGTTCATATGTCAAGTATGGTATATTATTTCAATGTCCTATTTAAACATAATTATAGCATCTAAGTTAAATATCTTACATGACACACAGTTCTGTCTCTCTCTCTCTTAAATGAACTATCATTTATTTGTCTTCTGTAAAACTTAATGGAAGACACACATAAAGTTGTATGCTTTAATAAGGCTTCAGTTACAGAATGATCAAGCTGGTTCAAAATCATCAACTGTGTTCACAATCATATTATGTAATTTTGCTCAACTCTGGTCTAAGGAAACCACAATTTTTAGATTCACATAAACTCAGCTATAAACCAGGATTTATCAACAATATTGGTTACAGCCATCCCTAAACCACAACCAAACCAATCCTCTTATAGTATAGCATTATGTGTGAATCTAACCAATATGTGATAGTCAGATGTCATATGCTGTACCATTTTTTTTTACATATTTCATTTGTTCATGCTTTCCAGCTTTATTCTCCTTTAATAAACTTGTCTCTTAAATTTCTGAGGACATTGCTTCCTGATTTATTTTTTCCTTTGGAACCTACCTAATGCTTTTCTATTTTATAGCTAAAATGGCAACTTCTCCGCTTACTAAAGTTGTGGTTCAAACATTACATTGCATGAATTAAATATCACCAAGGACTATCTAGGTAGAAACCAGTTTTAATCAATTGAAAAATAACTGACTTCAATGAGAATTTTAAAAATCAGGGTAAAAATCAGTAGGTGCTGGCGATGTACATTACAAAAGAAAATTCTGCTTTTATTATTAGAATACATTTAGTTATATACAATCATTACATAAATAACTGTGAATATTATTATATTGTTGTTTTATTTTACCACTATCATATTGTTGCTTCTTATATTATAGCACTTATTTTGTTTAATTACATTTTAAAGAGAAACATTTTTCACAGTTGAGACTTGTGAAACACCGCCATCACTGTAGCTTAGCCACTAGATTTTACTGGAATCACCATTAATCCAATATGGACCTGAGTAAAATTTAAAATATGTTCACAACACAGTAATGTAAGTGGAGGAAACTTCCCAATGAACTGATTTAAAATACGTAATGATGAATTTTTAATTAAATTTTCACAACTAATTTTAATAAAATCCATAGTACATAATCAAATTTAATTGCCTTGCAATATATATCTAACTCTAAAATATACTAATTATTGAAACAAAATAAAGAAATCCTTAACAAAAATCAGTGTATCTCATTACATTAAAAAAAGGAAAATTTCAGAGTTGTGTATAACAAAAAGAATTTTTGCTGTGAGATCTTCTCAATTAGCTATATAAGATTCTTAAAGCTGACTATGCATATTGTAGTAATGTCACTTCATTTCATATTTTATGAAGCTAAACAATTTAATGACAAAGCTGCAATGAACAGTTTGCCAGCCAACTCTTCCTTACAACTTTTCCTATCATAAAAGTGCAGAAAAATATTCAGATAGTAACTTGATTTAAGGTACATATAAACATATATACATAGATTTTTTTTAAAAAAATCCACAAATTGCTGCTTTGTATGTTTACTGTTCAAGCACCATGATCAACCATATCATGACAAGCAAATCCCACCATGATATCCCATTTCCCCCATATTTCTACATTTATATTATCACAGTAATTTTCAAGTTACTGTATTTTGCAAATACAAATTTCTTTTAGAATACAAGGGAGCTCATTAGTAAAAGAGTTTAGTCTTTTGGGAATGCAGCTGGATTCTCTTCTCTTTATTTCTTTGTTTGCTTTTGAGAATATAATAATTGCAAATCACAGGCAATGTGTACTTGCACCTATTAAAACACTGAAAACTACATTAAAGCTAAGCTAAAACAACTAATTCAATTCCCATTGAAATCCATTTTCTTGGAATTTATTTGTATAAATTTAATGCATATACCTTGCAACTATCAGTGAAAATTTGAACTTTGATGATTAACTCTACAAAATGACAAAGATTATATATATGTGTGTGTGTGTATACACAAACACACACACACACACACACAGGACTATGCTTTTCCAACAATAACCCCCCCTCGCCCAAATTCTCAAGGATTCAAGAAAAAAAAAGGAAGGAGGAAGAGACTACTACATCACTAGAAAGACTCTACTATAAATGTTTCCAATATAGAATCTGGTAGCATTCTTTCATAAGAAAAAGACAGTCCATTTCATTTATTTTTTAGGCTAACTTTAAGAATGCACTGTTCAAGATAGTAAACATAATGAAGCAATGCAATGAAACAGCCCCCCCAAGCTAGCATAAAATCATTAAGCTTTAAATACATTAATTACAAGTAAAATCACCCCCATCTAAAAAAAATCAAGAAAAAACAATTGGAAGAAATAGCTCTTTGGAATCTTTCTGAATACTTTCAAAGATGTCTAGAAGCTCATTTCAGAAATGTATCTTGACTACTAAAATATCTTCTATATTGCATTAGCTAATCAATGCCTTTTGCAGCAGGCAAGTAAAAAAAGGATATTTCAAAGTATACACAGACTAGTACAAATGAAAACAATCGTTTATTATTTGTTTAAATATTTGAAGCAGGAAGGGGCAGCTTCAGGTTTCATAGCCAATGGCAAGTCTTTATATTCTCCAAATCTGATTTAAAGCTCAAAATCAGTGCTTTAAATTGTACTGACAAGCACCAGTATCTAACTGTAGCTTGGCCAGCCCAGGTACATTCAATCAGTTGCATTCTGCGTGATGGGCACAGCCTAAACTATCTTTTAAGAATTCCAGATTTTTTCAACCTGGCTGACATCAGTGCACAAATAACCATTTTAAAGGGCTTGGTTATAATTTCAGAGGATTTACTTATCTAACCCAGCAGCATCTGAACGTTCATATTTAACACTGAGATCAGAAAGACTCCCAAAGTATAAACTTGTTTATTTGATGTAATTGCATTTCTGTCTTCAGTTGCCTCCTCTGACAAACCTACTAGCTGGAAAAGAATTTTGTATCATAAATTGTGCATTTGAAAATGTATCTTCTGGCACTTGCAGTAGCTCCTTGGAAGCACTGGAATAGCTTTGGTACCTGCATACACACATAGAAGCCTTTTCCAGCTAATGGACCTGCCAGAAGAAGCAGGCACGAAGCAAT